TTCCAATCAAACTTATTAAAGGGAAGGCATCATAACATATGATTAATTTCTATGGACTAGGATCATTTGAGAATTAGTCTGAGATGGAAATATGTTTTCAAAATCATCTCAAGCTGACACAAAACTTTTTGGCATTAATTTCATCTAATGGGAGATCTTTCTTCATTGTGTGTTTGTCAGATTATATGCAAAGGGTGGACTTGATCCAGGACTTGAGATTTGAAACTGCAACTACTAAAATCAAGGCAACTCCTGATGGGGAGTTCCTAATTGCAGCAGGTGCCTTTAAGCTTTACTCTATGTTATGTTTTATATTCACAATAAAAAGGGAATTCTACATAAAATGTCTATTTGTGTGTTGCGGGTGTACGCGTTTGGAGTAAAACATTTGAACTTGTACCTATTGTGATTTTTACTATTGAAATTCAGGTATTTACCCACCACAAGTCAAAGTATATGAGCTGAGGGAACTTTCACTCAAGTTTGAAAGGCATTTGGATTCAGAGATAATTGATTTTGAGGTAGTTTAGTTTCATTCGTTTCTGATGTAACATGATATTTGAAATATTTATTCATGGTCCATGGCTGATTTGTGTCCAGCATCTGCTGATTTTTCCAGTTATTTTATCGGTGCAGTGGCTCCTCTCTAAATATTTTTCATTTTTTTGGATTTTCAGTTACAATTATTTATGTACACTCTTGCTCGCAATTGCTTCTTTTTTCTTTTTCACTTACCTTAGCTCTTGCAATTTCAGTTAGTTATTCTTGTAGAGTAAGGATGAGAGCATTTCTAAGGAATATAATTAAGTCAAAAAAATGTTTAATAGTTAATAGAACTTACAAGAGTTTTATTTATTAAATAGCAAAGAAAAATGCAATTGGATTTTTTATTTATTAAGCAACTGAAGAGCATCGCTTGGGCTGAAACCCGACTATTTGATCTTACAAATGCACCCTTTTTTCTCCCTTGGTCAAGTATAGTTTCCTTCTGAATGGTACTTTTTCCTCCTTCCGAAATCCAAAACTTGAATACTCATTCAAGTTTTCTAGGTTGTTTATAAGTTAAATGCCAATATTATGATTTGGATATCATCGTTTCATGTTCGCTACTTAATGGTGCGAATGTCATGCTGTATTCTCAATATGTTCTCATGGAACTTAAAATATTACTGACTCAACTTTTCATTACTCATTCAGGTTTTGGCTGATGATTATTCAAAGCTTGCGTTTTTATGTGCTGATCGCTCTGTTTATCTACATGCAAAATATGGAAAACATTACAGTGTGCGAATTCCAAGGTTACTCTTTATACTTTGTTTATGTCAATGGCTCATGAATGGAAATAGTGTTTAAACCATGTGTTTGCTTTATAAACTTTGAACTCTATGTTTCATTGTGCATTGTGGGTATTCTTTTCTATTTCTGTTTCTTTTGGCTGTTATGTATTATTGGGCTGTTTGGATAGGATATTTGAGGATGTGAGGGGCGATGAGGGGTTTATTTGTTGAAGAGGATTTGTTTTTGGCCATCTCTTTAGGTATTCATGTCATCAGAGTTTTGGGAGAGCTTATTTTCCGTTTGTTTTTCCCAGGTTGGAACACTTTGTTTCTTAATGCCCTCTGTTGTCTTGAATTCATAATCCTATAAAAACAAAGACAAAACAAGAGGGAAAAACAGATACAGAATGAGTAGCTTTATGCATGTGTGTGTGGATGTATATTAAAGGGGAGTTTGTGTGCGCTTGCCTGTGTGTGCAATTGTATTTTTGAATCCTTCAACATATACACCACAAAATGACAGTGGCCTTTATTGGATCAGTGAAAATATGAAATGATGTTGTTTTCACACATTTATTATTTAAAAATGGGCCCGCAATAATTCAGAATCTTCTCCCTTTTGGGTGTCATGTTAGCACCATCTCTATCATTGAATGAGTTGATAGAATCACCAACCCATTAAAGAACTACCAACTTCTTAGAAATGGGGAAAGGTACGTACATAAATACATAAAATGGAGGGCTCTATGTCTCTTTTCTGAATTTTTTTTTCTTTTTTTTTCTTGAGTATTTAGTGACCCTCTCTCTAATCAAATCATACTTATTTTTTCCCTTTAATGTTACCCATGTTGAGTTTCATTAACTTGTTTTCAAAACCTACATGGCACCAATACAGTAATGAATACTTGAGCAACTACATTACTTTAGAACTAAAGTTTAGCACATCTAGCATTTACCAGAGTTGCTTGCTTTTGTTTGAGCCCTCTTTTTCAATGTACGTGAATTAAACTTTTTATCCCTACATTTTGGAAATTTATTTCTATTACTTGATAATATAACTTCATAATTTATTCACAATTAAAATTATGTTTATCATTTTAAAAATAATCAAAGATAGTATAATATATGTAATTTAGTTTAATACTTGTATACCGCATGGGTTGTAGCTTGAATAAGTTTGATATGCTTTCTGCAATGAATTTATTGAACTTGTGTATGCAGAATGGGAAGGGACATTGTGTATGATTGCTGGTCTTGTGACTTGCTTTGTGCTGCCTCTTCCCCAGAATTGTACAGGATTAATCTGGAACAGGTTTTATTGCTTAACTGGACTTTTCTTTTTAATCTGCTTTAATTCATAGGTATGTTGATAATAATTTTGACTTGTTTGCAGGGGCGGTTTCTCTCTTCCCTGAGCACACAATCAACGGCACTAAATGTAGTTTCTCGGAGGTTGCTTGTGATCTCTTTTTTTTTATATTTTTTTTTTTATAATTTTTAAATTTGTTTATTTTATAACTATTTTAGGTTCTTTGGCTTATTTAGTTATTAGATATATGTAGGACTTTCTTATGCATGGTTATTTTGGTTAATTATCTTAGTGTATGGAGCTTTTCTCTTAAAATTTCAGCAAGCTTCATGGTCTAGTTGCTTGTGGTGGTGAGGATGGTGCTGTGGAGTGTTTTGACTTGAGGATAAAATCTTCGGTTGGTAGGATTAATGCTGTCGCACCTGCTGGTGACATTGACCAGGTAACAGTCCTTTGATCTATTTGTTTTGAGTAAATATTCGTTAATGAAGACCAGGTGAAGTCTAATTGGTTGCCACAATGTAGTTAATTTACAAATCGATCACCATTTGAAGTTCAAATTATTTTCAAATACTACGTTGGTCACCTGTAGGATATGTATATGTCTATTGTGGTTGCAGGTGAAGTCTAATTGGTTGCCACAATGTAGTTAATTTGCAAATCGATCACCCTTTGAAGTTGAAATTATTTTCAAATATTATGTTGGTCACCTGTAGGATATGCATGTGTCTATTGTGGTTGTCTGGATAATTTGGTCATGATACAAATGCCAAATTTTTTCCTACGCTTTTGGAAGATGTAACTATGGGTATGGTCGGTAGTATGGTTTGACAAGTTCGGGCAGAAATTCACCCCGATCAACCTTGTTGATTTTGACTTACTTTGAAACTGTAGAGTTATACTGAAAAAAAAGGAACTTGCCAATCCCAACCAATGACCATCAGTTTGAACTGGTTTTGTATCTCTTTCAATTTTGTTCTATTTCACCCAGGAAACAGCAGACGTTTTTTTATTCATCACAATTTCAAAAAGACAGTGTCATCAAATTCATTGCTCCATTTTAAATTTAATTCAAAATTAGTTCAAATCCAAGAGAAATTATGGCAGATGCTTTAGACTACATAATCAATGTTTCACCACAAAGTGTTGTTGTGGTAGTTTGACAAGAGCACAGTGAAATGAGGGCCTGTTGACCTACTTAGCATCAGTTTTCCTGTTTCTATTTTGATATTGTCTCAATTGTTCCTTATCTTTTTTGACAATGGAAATAAAAGAAGGAAGTGGATTGAATGATCCGGCTGGTTCATCAGTTCAGCGACAGATGAATGGCAGGGGAATAAAGTTGTATGCGGGATTCCTGTGAATGATGATCTTTTCTCTTCAACTATTAATCAGACACGATTTTGCTTAATCTGGCTGCCTCCTGGATTTGCAGGAGGTCACTGCATTGGAGTTTGATGAAAAAACAGGTTTTTTAATGGCTGTTGGAAGCAGTGCAGGGAAGGTATGACATCATTTTTCTTTTCGCTAGTAAAGGTATCCTGTAATTTGTATATATATATATATATATTTTGTTGCTGATATAGCTGTGATCTCATTTTAGTTATGTGTGTTATCAGAACTAGGCACCATATTTGTCGTTGCCAACCATGCAATATCTGTTGTAGTTTTCGTCAATTTTGATATTCGATTTTAGAGAATTCTCGTAAATTATACACTTGATAGGTACCGTGTATCTGTAAATGCATACTGCATGCATAGATTATACACTTAACAAGCATAAAAATGTTTGAGACAGCCACTTGTTTTCCATGATGAATACAGAGAGGGTTAACATTTGATATACTTGACAGGCCCAATTAATCTAGTGGCTCCTGGAAGAGTGACAAGTACTCTTTGAAGTGAAAAACCAAAGTGCCAGCCAACTTGGGAGCTAATCAAAACTGTTTGTCAAATTATCAACAATTTTGCATAGACTTTTCTCTTATTAAGAAGTCATGTGAATTGTCTTCTTTATGTCTACGAGGGGGGAATTTCAATTGTCGTATTTAGGCCTCACGGTTACTTGCACCTTAGTGCATTACAGGAAATTGTTCTATTTTTCAGAAAGTGCATAGTCTCTTATCCAAATAGAGATGGTCTTAATGTGGTGGGGGGATGATTTTCCCTTGGCTACAATGTTATTAATGAAGGTGGAAACGAGGTTTTGTAAGATATCTGATATTAAAATAATGTAATCAAGATAAGAGATAACTGGGATCAAACATCTGGTAGGTGGTGATTTACATGGTAAATTTGGTTATGCAGTGGATTACAGTTTTATGGTCTTTTTGTGGAGATTACTGAGTGCCTTGTAGGAGGATGTGGTGATAAAAAAACCATTTGGGGGTATAGTGTCACTAACTTATAACTGAAGAAAAGATAGAGGGATGAGGACTAGGATATATGGATCTCTTTGGGCAATAATATTATGTTGTGAGTGGAGGCTAAACAGAGCAGATTCAAGGGCTTGGAGATTGAACCGACAGGGAATTTCTCTTGCAAATCTTTTTTTTAGATATCTTTGTTGGGAGTGAGTCTCGTTTTGTGTTCCTGAGTTATAATGGTCATTTATTGTTATTTAACATGTTACATGTATAATTGTAATTGTATCCGTATTCTAGTTCTTTGAGAGCTGCTGTATCACCATATCATATTGTATTGTGAATCCTGTACTCGTATCTGTGCAATATAGGCTGGCAGGCACCATCACTTCTTTCACCTTCAGTTGTAGTCTTGTCATAGAGAGCCTCTATCAAGAATATGTCAGAGCAGTGCCCAATATTTCAAAAAGACTGTAGCTCTGTCAATTTACATCGTGTCATTGACCTTGCAGGTACTCGTCTATGACTTGCGTTCGTCGCATCCTATACAGGTTAAGGATCACATGTGAGTTTACTTCCTTATAACTTACATGTGAGTTTACTTATTATGTGGATTTTTCTTGTTCAGCACAATGAGGGAGTCTGTTTTTCCTTTTATAACTTATTACATTACATGTGAGTTTACTTATTATGTAAATTTTTCTGGTTCAGAGTCTGGTTTTCCTTTTATAACTTACTGGTTGTTGAGAGTACTGTCATTGGTTTATAGGTATGGCAGCCCGATATTAGACATTAAGTGGCATCAAACTCTTAATTCTGAGGCGCCAAAATTAATGACCACTGATAATCACATTGTTAGAATATGGGACCCTGACACAGTAAGACATTATATTTGAGAAGACCTTTTTTTCCCCTTTTTGTTGGGAAGACAATTGTTTTCTTTGATGATTGGATATTAGAATTCTGTATTTATAAGTAAATAATTTTTCCATTTTTGGCAGGGTGAAGGCATGACCAGCATTGAGCCAACGGCTGGAACAATTAATGATATATGTGCATTTCCTAGGAGTGGATTGATGTTGCTGGCTCTAGACTGCAGTCAGATTCCATCTTATTTTATTCCTGAACTTGGACCTGCACCCAGTTGGTGTTCTTACCTGCAAAACCTTACTGTGGGTTTTCAGATATTATTTACTTCTTTCGTATATGGATTTAGTTTCATCTCATGTGGGGTCTTGAGTTATAGTGCTAATGTTTGAGTTCGTTCTACAGGAAGAGCTAGAGGAGGGTGGACAGACGACCATCTATGATGATTTCAAATTTTTGACAAAAGAAGACCTTGAGAGGTTGAAGTTGACTGGTCTCATCGGAACCAATCTCCTCAGAGCTTACATGCATGGGTTTTTTATTGATTATCGGTTGTATAAAAAGGTTAGGCTGCCTTCCTATGCCTGTATGATTATTTTTATGAAGGGTGGACGGGAAGCAAAATAATCTGTATCATCCACTTTGTATGTTGTCCCCCCTTTTTGTCTTTCATTAGAGTGAAGCAAATCTTGGGACATATATGGAAAACATGAGACAGATCAGAATAGTTGGATTTGTTTCAGGAAACTGAGAATAATAATCTGTATTAGGCTTTTACCTTTATTTTGTAATTACTTTTCTCTCACCCTTTCATGACTCTTATCTGTTTGTATTCTTTTGTGGATTTTTTGTTGGTAATAATTATTCTTTTGAAATGCATGTTTTTGGCCGTTTTAGGATTTAGTGAGTTATTGGGTGTGTTTTTTAAGTTGTCTGTCTTGAAAAATGCATATTGTCATAGTCAAAGCTAATGTTTTCCATGCTCGAGTAGGGTATTTGTTTTTTTGCTTGTGGTTATTATACAAAGTAAGTTTACTGCTTTATTTCATTGTATATATACATTCTGGCAGGCAAAAGCTTTGGCAGAGCCTTTTGATTATGCTGAATACAGAGAACAACGGAAACGAGAGATGCTAGAGAAAGAACTTGCAGGAGAGCGAATTACGGTTAGTTATTTTCATCTACAATTTTTTAGTATTTATGTAGAGTTTTTATTTATTTGTTCAATTACTCTGCATTGATCACTATGTACAGCTCATAAGAAATTTTTCTCTTATGACCGGGGCAATTGCAATAAAGTGCATGAGGATTGGGAGCCTGGATGTTCAAGTTTCCTCAATTCTCCATATTATTTGCATATGCTATGTATATATTTCTTTATTTTGAGATGAGGTGGTTTTCGAATAATTTTTGGAAAACTTGGTATTCTCTTCAAAGTTGTTTGACTAGGCATGAGTTGAGTTCTGCCACTTTCACCCTAAACATTGTAAATATACCTTCTCTCTTTTTTACTCGATCTTAACATCCACAACTCTATAACACACTTTATAAAAAATACTCGATGCACCATATATATTGATATATATATATATATATATATATATAAATATATGTGTGTGTGTGTGTGTGTGTAGTTATTATCTCTTTACTGTTCAACCAGAGCAACCTTTGACCCTTATCCTCTCTCCTTTTCAGTTTTATTTTTGGTTCAGTTTCCAGAAAATTTGAATTTACAACTCTTTTAATTGTTAACTCTAGTTATCCCCAGAGCATCTAAGATGTCTCTGAATACTTTTTAATCCAAATTAATCCCTAAGTTTTTTCATGTACAAAATTTTAAAGATACACATAGGGCATACCCCTTTGCTCTGAGGTGCTCTAAATTTTTCAGAGAACTGACCCTTTTGTATTTCAATGCAATATAAGTGGGATTCAGCTGTTAAATTTTGGGGTTTTCAAATCTCCTTTAGTAGATTGTAGGGTTGTAGAGTGATTTATCGCTATGGACTTTAGTTTGTGGTATATGTCAGATTATCTACTTAACAATGATACCTGTATCCCTTGTATGTTGTACTTTTGTTTGCTGCAGATTAAGAGGAAATTGCCCAAGGTCAATCGAACTCTTGCAAAGAGTATTCTTGATAATGAAGATGCAGAGAATGAAATTAAAGATGCTGATAGCAATGAGACTAAGAAGCCACCAAAGAAAAAGAAGGCACTTGGTAGTGAAATTCTCAAAGATGAGCGATTCGGAAATATGTTTGAAAATAAGGTATGAAAATCTGAACCTTTGGCTCCTGTAAGAGAAGGGTGACAATTTAACCCAAAAATATGTTCACGTAGTTCACCATACTTTTCTATAAATTTTTAATCCAAAAAAATAAAAATAAACATAATAATTATTCATCCCTCTCCTCCCCTACCCCTTCCACCTCCTTTGCCTCCCTTTCCTACCCTCTGTCTCCTTCTCCTGGTAATGGCCAGTCATCTCCATTCCACACCTATCCTTGTTCCCAGGACTTTCATGTTCTTGTGTTTTTTCAGAAGATTCCAAGGGTCTTGAAACTGTTAAGTGACATTGATGGAACCTTTCATCCTTTCTGGTTGTTGAATGGGTCACCCATCAGTGGACTGATTCATTTCTGTTCTTACCTTGCCATGTGTTCTTCCCATCCCTTCCAATGTTTTCAATGGCAATGGTGGATGTGTGCCATTTTGTTACCTCACAAGCCGAGTAAACCTCAAGTCATTGATGCGTAACCCGTTTGACACTTGAATTATTGTGGAATATATTTAACAAATATAATATAAGCATACTACTGCTCAAGTGCGGACTGTGCAAAAATGCATTGGCTGACTTGCTGGTCAATTGGCAACCAACCACATTTTTTGTGAGGATATTTGAATCGGAGATTCCTCATTATGCTATTTCCCCCAGTTTTGGTCGGACTTTTTTGTCTCATAATGCATTTTGTCTAGTTCCCTTCATAGCTGATATGGATGGCTAAAGTGCTTTGGGTAAAATTTCTTGCTTGGATTGTTGTCCATGGGAGAGTTAAAATACTTGTGAGCCCAACAATGGTAAAAGGGCTTGCATATGTCTCTTGTTCGCTATTGGTGCAACATGTGCAAAGGCGCAAGCAAAGTATTTATCACAATTTTTCCATCCAAGTTCTATGCGCTGAGACTGTTATATAAGCTCTTTAGGTGGTTAGATTAAGCTGGGTAGTTCCTCTTCTTGTGACCATTCATGGAGAGGTTTTTGCCCTTTTGGTGGAGGGAAGAACACAAAGGTTTTGTAGTGTTTAAAACAAATTGTGTTGGGTTTTTTGGTTGGGAAGGAACAGTTAAATTTTCAATAGTAAAGAAGGGGATGCAGTGGACTACTTTTATGGGACTGTGGCCTGATTGTGGGACTGACTTTATGCTTCCGCGTCTTTTGAAGTGAGAGACTATATTTCTTCCTTCTGAATTTGGATTAGGAAGCAGCTC